TTTCCTTAAAACCCCTTAAAAAATTTTTTTTTTTTTTTCCAAACCCCCAAAAAAAAAATTTTTTTTTTCCCCCTTTTTTCCCCCCTTTTTCAAAATTTCCCCCCGGGGGGCCCCCCTTTTTAAACCCCCGGGGGGTTTTTAAATTTTTTTGGGGAAAAAAAAAAATTTTTTTTTTTAAAAATTTTTTTTTTGGGGTTTTGGGGAAAAAAGGGGGGGGTTTTTTTGGGAAAAAAAAAAAATTTTTAAAAATTTTGGGGTTTTTGGGGACGGGGGGGGGTTTTTTTTTTTTTTTTAAAAAACCCGGCCCCAAAAACCCCTTTTAAAAAAAACCCAAAAACCCCCCCCAAAAAAATTTTTTTTTTTCCTTTTTTGGGGGTTTTTTTTTTTTCCCCCCCCCCTTTTTTTTCCCCCCTTTTTTTTTTTTTCCCCCGGGGGGGTTTTTTTTTTTTTTTCCCCTTTTTTTTTTCTTTTCCCCCCCCCCGTTTTTTTTTTCCCCCAAAATTTTTTTCCCCCCAAATTTTCCCCTTTTTTTTGAAAAAAAAGGGGTTTGGGGGGGGGGCCCCCGGGGTTTTTCTTTTTGGGGGGGGGGGGGGGAAAAATTTTCCCGGTTTCCCCCCTAAATCTTGGGGGGTTTTAAAATTTTTTTTTTTCCCCCCCGGGAAAAAAAACCCCAAAAAAAGAAAAAACCCCCCGGGGGGGGAAAAAAAAAAGGGGGGAAAGGGGGTTTTTAAAAAGGGGGTTTTTTGGGGGGGGTTTCCCCCTTTTTTTTTTTTTTTTTTTTTTGGGGGGCCCCCCCAAATTTTTTAAAAAGTGCAGGTCCTTCGGGCAGATACTGGGACTATTTTCACCGTGATCAAAAACAATAATGGACCAGTGGAGGCTCCTCAGAGGAGGAAGGGGAGGACTATCCTCCTCAGTGAATTTCATAAAAACAAAAATAGTGAAACAAAGTTATCCTTTTTAGATTAAACTATACTAAATATATTCACGTTACCAAATAATTAAATAAAACACATTGTTTTGCAATGAAGGTCTACAGTAGCCTCAACATCACTCTCTGGGGTAGCACCATGGTGTAGCCAAGGAGAAGCAAAAGAGAATGAGAGAGAGCTATCTATATTTCATTGTATTTATTTTCACTTTCACTTACCTAGCCAGCGAATGCAGCTAGCTAGTTTAGCCTAATCAAACACCCGGCTCAAACAGAGAGGGATGTTATGTTAGCTATCTGGCTATGGCTATCCAACACTGGAACTCTTCCAAGTAAAGGTACGTTTTTTCTTGTTAGTTTATTGCCACTGGGGCCGGCCGGTGTAACTGCTAAACTACTTGCTGTACACTGTACTGCATGATTGTAGTGGATTTATTAACGCGTTAGTTCAAGTAGCTAGCTATGTTGACTATGGCGTTAGCTAATATGGTGACAACGATGTAGGCTGTGTGTAGTGGTTAGCGGTTATGGCATGAAGGTTTGGCTTGGAAAGGTTTTTTCACCTGGTCACAGACAGCTGTTGTATTATGCACAAAAGTCCACAAGCAAAGGGAAAAGGTGGGAGGAGGAAGCGCATAGATGCGAGAAGGATTTATACAATGAGCAAAGTGATCATGCTGTTTGTATGTGGCTGCTATGAAGGTGAACTGTGTTAGCGGTGATCACAGGTGTATTCATTCCACCGATTCTGTTGAAAAACGTTTCTTAAACAAAGGAAACGGAACGAAATGGGGATAAACATACCTGAATTTGTCCAATAGAAACTCTCGTTTGCAACTGTTGGATTAATGATTACACCCTAGATCAGCTAGATGCAGGCAAGAGTGTTCAAGGCGGTATTGGATGTGTCAATGTCTGTCACCTTGATTACTCAAATTCTTCTCTCAACTTGTGCAACTATGTTGTAAACTTTAATTTGTAGGCTTGGTTGTAGCAACTTCATGATGGGTATAGGGAAAATTTGAGTATCATGTAGTAGCCTAAACCTGTCAATGTTACATTGAGCCAGGTGAACGGAATATGAATGACAGTCATCCAATATGCTGTAACAGAAAAGAAATATATACAGCATATATATCGTTTAAACGGCACCGACTGCCACTGTAATGGACCAATGCAATCTTTCATTTTCTTTTCAACTCAAAGCCAAACATCACATCAACTTAAATTCCAATGCCAATATATTTTCCAAGCATTATGGTAAAACAGAATATTAGTTTATTATTCCTATTGGACTGTTTCTAGTCGATCTCTCTCTCTCTCTCTCTCTAAGTGAAATAGTAGCGAGAGGGAAGGTCTCTTGCCGTCCTCTATTCTCTCTATCTATCTATCTCTATCTCTCTCTCCTATCTTCTGTCTCGGCTAGTCTCTCGATCTCATCTCGCTCTATCTCCTCTATATCTATCTCCTCTTCCTCTCTCTCTCTCTCTCTCCACTCTCTCTGTCTCTGTCGCTCATTGTCTCTCTCTCTCGTCCCCCCCACCCCTCTCTCTCTCTTTGTTGTTTTGGTTAGAGAGCACAAATCCAGATGTTGGTCTGTGAGTGGAGATCAGGCCAGCCAGAGGGGCTGAGAATGCCTCTGGAGGGGGTGGAGGGGGGCGGGGTGGAGGGGCGACAGGAAGTCCCACGGTATCCACGGGAACTCTCACATTCCATCTTCCGCAGGCTCCCTGACATCCTTGACATCTCCCATGCTAGCTGAGCTAAGCCCTCACAGTCACCACATCACATCCACAGAGCAAAGTAAAGCGGAGCGGAGTGGAGTAGAGCGGAGCAGAGCGGAGTAGAGTGGAGTGGAGTAGAGCGGAGCAGAGTGGAGTAGAGCGCTGGTCCCGGGGATGACAGAGCAGAGCAGCACTTCCTTTGGGGCTGGGGCTACATAGGGCTGGAGCTGGGGTTCCCAGAGACAAAACAAAGCCTTGGACACACTCAGGGGCCCTGCCCTGCCCAGAACACTGCTTTGTTAGGGGAAATGCATAGATCGGATCTAGCTTATGATGTACGCATTTCTCGCCTATTCTGCTTGTAACTAGACCTAGGTGAAAAGGCGATGGTTGAGGCCCATTGACAGGGATCAGTCGAGAGAGTCACACACACACACATACACACACATACACCACACCCTCCTGCTGGAGGATCTCCAGGCTAGGGAATAATGGAGTGTGTGTAAACTGAGATGTCTCAAATGAGCCGACGGGAACGGGAACAGGGCTTGTGATGTACTGATACCATGCCGTCCTTCAGACCAGCCAACACAATCACCTATACAGTACACACACACACACACACACACACACACACACACACACACACACACACACATACACACATACACACACACACACACACACATACACACATACACACACACACAATAAATGTGCTCTTTGAAACTGTTCCATCAAAGCCTCACTTCGGGACACAAGTGTTTATCCACATCTTAAGGCTTTCTCCAAGCAGAAAAACAAGTGAGGAGGGGGGTGTGGAGTGAGACGAGGCAGAAGACAATAGTGGGCTTTCTGTGGGGCTGAGTGGAGTAGGAGGAGGAGGGTGGAGGGTGGATGTGGGGAGCTGGAGGAGGAGGGCTGATCTGATCTGAAGCCCATCTGAAGGAGAGGAAAAGTGGAAAGTGAAGAGGCGTCTATTAGATGTCAGTGGTCTTTTGTGTCCATGTCAATGAGGAGGATTAAGGTATTTGAAATAATCTGACTAAGACTCTGATAGGTCTCAGCACAGAGAGGGACATGAACATATGGCAGAGCAGGGAGACCACACACACACACACACACACTAACAGGTAAACAGTAACACATACCGCACAAGGCATCCATTATATGCACTGACACACTGTGTTCATAGATAACCTCAATCAGGAAAACGACTGTAACCTGACTTCACACACAGAGAAGAAGAAGAGCTCTCCTCGCAGATAACAAAAGCAATAAAAAATGTTTTCCCACAGAAAACCCAGTGCTTCATATTGTGTGTTTACAAAGTAGAGAGGGAATAAACCACAGTTAATATGAGATTTGTTCTTTTAACAACATAATAAGGCATCATTAGTGGGGTTTTTCCATTCCGGGGGATTTGCTGCGGTTATCCTGGTGTCTTATAAGAGTGATCTAATTAGTGAATCACTCTCTCTCTCTCTCTCTCTCTCTCTCTCTCTCTCTCTCTCTCTCTCTCTCTCTCTCTCTCTCTCTCTCTGTCTCTCTCTCTCTCTCTCTCTCTCTCAGCCAGGAGAATTAGCTAACGCTAGCCCTGCTAATTACAGCGCCACAATCAAATCCGTTCTCTGAAACAAGAGCACACTAATGAGGCCTTATTTATTGAACAACTTCAAGGAAAAATATAGAAGTTGTAGTTGTTATTTTTTATTATGTATTCGGGGGGAAATAATAAGTCATAATTGAGATGGTATCTATCAGCAAAGGCAAGCTGCTTGTTTGTGAGCCTCCCCCCCAATCCCCCCACCAAAAGAAAAGGAGCGGGAAAAAAAAAAACTGCCAGAATAGATCAGACATAAATGAGGTTATTTTTCATTTTTTTCTATTTTTTTCTGTTTTCACATGACCCATTTTCCGGTGCTGCAGGAGCGCGTGACAGGGAGGAGAATGAATGTGTATGATGGTATGATAACCTCACAACTAAGCCATGGACTCACTGTGCCTGCCTAGCTACCTGGCCCAGCATAGGGAGAGGAGACAGTCACAGCCATAGCACCATAGGACACATGGTTATTTTCCAGTAGATTCACCTGGGTCCTCTTTGGATGTCTTATTAGTCTATAAACATCAATACATTCCCTTTCCCCCACAAACCTCAACAAATAATCGTATTTTACAGGCGCTGGGAGAGCAATGTGAATTGTGCTGAGGCCAGTGCACTTCTTTGTTTTGATGTATCTCCTGAAAGCATAAGGCACTGAGCAGACACAAACACAACAGCAGTGTTCTGGCAGTGAGAGAGGATGAGCTCAACAGAAGTTTCTGGGTTCATCTGGCCATTCTCATCTGAGCCCTGTTTGTTCACTGAAGTCTGAAGGTGTGTGATGGTAGAGAGGGGAGCAGGGGGGCAGGGTGGGGGTGGGGGGTGGTTCCAGCTGCCCCCCAGGAGCGCTGACCCTTTCTGGCCCAGCGAAGCGGAATGTTGGGCAGTGAGGGTAAGAGGAGGGGAGGGGGCAGAACACGTGTGCCAGGTATGGGGCCCGCTTCTCTCCTCTCCTGGCACTGAGAGAACTGCATGCGCCACAGCTGATGTGCATCTGTGTCCTTCCTGTAGCGCAGGTCAGTGACTACATTACCACAGCATACACACTACTGCCATCCCCCTTTACAAGAAGTGTGTGTGTGTGAGTGTGTGTGTGTGTATGTGTGTGCGTGTGTGTGTGTGTGTTTGTGTTTGTGTGTGTGTGTGTGTGTTTGTGTTAGTGTGTGTGTGTTGGTTCGGTTTTGGTTCGATTATTCAAAAATAATTATTTGGGTTGAATGCTGTAACACAGAATAAAACAATTAATAAAAGTCCCATGATGGTAGTGACTGCCCATTACTGCTTATCACTTATTAACCATCATTTATTCACATTAATTTACTTTAATAAAATATTTCAGTTATTGTATATATTACATTTGTTTTATTTGATGACTATTATTTCATTCCTTGTCATCATCTCATCTCTATAGAGCTGCTGCCTATGCTCTCTGACAAAATCACTATTTTAGTAGTTCTTCAAAGTATATTAGGGATACTTTTATGACTGCTGAATACCAACTATCAATCACTTAGATCATGTGTTTTCAGGTAGAGATACCTTGCGAAGCAACAACTGCTTTCTATAGCCCCTGACAATCACGCATTCTTGTCTCCCTCTCCACACTAACCTAAAGTAGCAGCAGCCGTAAAAGAAACACAGACCGGATAAGTATGATTATTGTCATTGTAGTTCATTAATAGGTTTTATGTGCTAAACTATGTAAAATATTGGCCTGTTGGAAACTACAACCCCCTACTACATCTCATAGTTCAGGCTGGATCTGATTTATCTCAAGCTAAGCTCACAGAAAAAAACAGAACTAAATGGAATTCAAATAATTGAACTGACATTGGTCAATTAGTTGTTTAAAAACCGAAAAAATAACCAACATTTTGCCCTCATGGCATAAGCAGTCTCAAAGGGGGTAATACACAGACATGTATCCACTACCATACACACACATACATACTGTACATACATTCCTCACCCACACACACACATCCTGTGCTTCAGTAGGGTTTAATCTTCACAAATGAGCCCCGGCGTCCATTTGACAAAAGTGACAAATCAGATCTGCCTCGTCGCACTGAACAATAACTCTGGTATGAACCAATGCAGCTCTGTGTGGTTTAAATCAAAAGCTTTCTTCCATGGTTATAAATTATACATTAGCATTAGCTCATACAGCCGCTGAGATACAGGCATTGTGGAGATCCCATCAACAGAGCCAAGTTAACCAGGGCTATTGTGTTAGACAGACGTCATAACATAAACAACATAACAACCAAAACTCCAATACTCTGGGACTAACAGCGCTATGAGCACGACTGGTAATATTACAAACAATTAGTACAGTAAGCCTATATGGGAGGATGAGGTCTAATGGCTCCTGTCTAGCTGAGAGAGACAAATGTACTGTGTAAGAGAGAAGACCTGTGTTTGGGTGCCCTGGAGGAATGATGGAGGGAGAGAGGAAGAGGAGGAGGGTGGGCTCCAAGCACTTTGGCAGCTATTGTCTCACAGTCCATTATCCATGTGGGTTTTATTAAGGGGAGCGGAGAGGAAAGGAGTGGACAGATTCCTCGTTCTGCCTCCCTCGTCCTCCCTCCCTGGCTGCAGAGGAGCACACACTGTACACACCGCTCCACGTACAGCACACTACACTCACACACACACTGTAGTGCTCACTGTAAACGTTACAGAGAGAACCAGAAGATACACTCTGGCCAAACCAAACCAGATACATAGATTGTGCTGATTGTGCTCCCCGCTCATACTTTCCCTCATGGCATCAGCAGCCTCAAAGATGTATGCACACACATAAACACACACACACAAACACACACGTACACACACACAAACACAAACACACACGTCCACACAAACACACACATACACACTCATACACACACACACACACACACACACACACGCACACACACGCACATACACACGGACCCAGTATGAATAGCAGAGCCAGTGGAGGACTGTGTTACGGTACCTGTCGATGATGACTGGGTCAGACGGGGTCTCGTTGCGGTTGCCACAGCTCTTCTTGTCACAGCAGCGGCTGAGGGGCACAAAGGGAGAGAAGGAGGGGGGTTAGAGAGAGAAAGAAAAACAGAGCCATGTTTCAGGGAGAGCTGCTTCAGCCAGGCCCAGGCCCTGACCTCCACAGGATAAAGGGGAAGGTACCAATTACCCAACAGCCTGGTCCTGTTCTGAGGCCTGAACTAAGCACTGCCCAGCCCACCCAGCCCTTTGTCACCTGTAGAACAGACTGCCTCTGTGTGTCTGGGTACATTATTTATCTCTACATATGGCTTGATTACAGCAGCCCACAAAGACAGGCCATTCAAGGGCCAGCTTGGTTAGGGGATGACAGGTGTGCTAGGGGAGAGGAGTGTGGGGGGGGGGGGGGGGGGGGGGGGGGGGGTGCGATGAGAGCACCCCTAGTATCACCTGAGGCAGGTAGCGGGTAATCACCCCCCTCCCTCTCTCTCCCTTCACCCTCCTGGGTCAAACACTCTCTGTTCACTGCTAACCTGACACCTCCTCCCCTGCCTCACTCTGACAAAGGTGAGCATCATGGGGGGCTGGAGGGTGGCTGTGCTGGGATGGGTTCGAGGGGGTAGGGGTGCGGTGGTAGGGTGCTGGAGGGAGGGAGGCTGCGGGGGAAGTGGAGCAGCTTGGAGAGACCCCCAGCTCATGTTTCCAGTGCACAGATGGCAGTGGGGTGTTGAATGGGGCTGGGGACAGGCCTGTCACATAAAACCCAAGGCATTGTCTCCCTTCTACAGGGCTGCTCTCTGCACTGGGTCAACCCCCCCCCCCCCCCCATCCATCCATCCCTCCATCCTCTCTCTGTTACTTCATCCCCCTCTCTATTCCTCCCTCCCTCCTTCTCCTCTCTCAGCCTTCTGCCACATCCATTTGGCAGGACTGATCGATCAGCTCCATTAATCATTCATATTGTGGCTCTCATGCCTCAGAGATATTGTAATGCAGGAGTGGAAAGCAGCGTAGCTGACTGAATCCCATGTGGAGTGTGCAGTGCACAACAGAAAGACAGGCCTGCTGGGTGCAGAACAGTCTCTGTAGAGAGCAGGAGTACATTGTGACTGACTGTAAGGGCTGTGGGTAGAACTATATGTGAAAATACATTGCTGGTGTAGTGAGAACAAATGGGAGTCAGCCAAAGGATTTCAGGAAGGACGTCCCAGGTCTTTGAAACATCTCGTTCTTTCTTTGGCCTCCCTCCTCTGTCTCTCCCTTGCTCTCATTTCTGTGCGACTCTCTGAACTGGGTCACATTGGATCAGAATAGAGTGAGGACTAGAGCACTGATTCGTGGCTTCCCTGCAATCCAATCATCAGGCAGCACCCATGGGAGACCAGATTTTTTTTCTACTACCCCCCCCCCCCCCCCCCCCCCCCACACACACACACTCACTGTCACCCACCCCACCCCCCCTCCCCTTCCTCCAACCAAAATTATGCTAATTAGTACATGCCTCCACCAGCTTTGTTGAGGGGATATTTTCTTTTCCTGTTACCTTCCATTCGTTCCCGCAGGACATCCAAAGGAAATCACATCTTTAATCTCAACGTTTCCTTCCTGCCGCAGCTTTTTAAGAAATTAAATCTATATCGCCTCATGTAATTAACAGGATGTAGTGATGTCTGTTCCTGTGAGGACAACGCTACCATACCAGGCCCTTTAACCCTTGTTTATTTTTAATTTACTCAAAACCATGACATATTATTTCAGCTCACCGGCTCTTGCCTAAAACCAAAACACTAAATCCCAATTTGTTTAATTAGTGGATCTCATCATTTGAAAATGACTTTTTTGTTGGTCCACGTAAAATGTAATATGACCTTAAATATGTTCCTCCTTTGTGAAAGCGTTGGAAAGCTCATTGTAGCCCGTTACTTGAGTTTGTAAAATGAAAGGTCTAAGCACTTATGTCCCACGGTTGCAAGCTGGCTTGGCACCATATGGCTAATGGTGGTGCACGGCAATTAGCAGTACTGATTAATGGTGAGCAGACACATTTTCTGCTTATAATTGAGACTGTGTTTGAACGCCCAGTGCAGAATCAGCACGTCTCCATCCCTGAGACTGGGACTGGGGAGGGGTGCAGGGCCGGTGGGACTGGCACCCCAAAAATCACTGTCTGATACATCACTGTCTCCATGGTTAGGTTCCTCACACTGGGCCTCTCTACTGATGTCTCGCACTCTCTCAGATCCTATACAATGCCTTAACCAAACACTGTAGAGCATGACTATTCAACTCTTACCCTACGAGGTCCGGAGCCTGCTGGTTTTCTGTTCCACCTGAAAATTAATTGCACCTACCTGGTGTCCCTGATTAGAGGGGAAGAATGTAAAAAAAAACAGTGGAACTGGCTTCGGGGTCCAGAGTTGAATTTGAGGGCTGTAGATGGGAAATGGCTACACTGTACGACTGTGGTGGTTGCATAGAATGATGGGTAAAATTTTGGCTGTAAACCCCGTACTAAAAAGTTAATTGTGTAATAATTGTCAATTTCTAATGATACTGTTAATCATAATAATATAATATAATATAATAATATGCCATTTAGCAGACGTTTTTATCCAAAGCGACTTACAGTCATGCGTGCATAAATTTTTTTTGTGTATGGGTGGTCCCGGGGATCGAACCCACTACCTTGGCGTTACAATCGCCATGCTCTACCAGCAAAAAAAAAGTGGTTCTGAGGAAAGGTCAGAAAATAACTTAATTAATGTTCTAAATATGAGTACAAAAGAGGAGTATGCGTCTTTGATTGTGTGTGTGTGTGTGTGTGTGTGTGTGTGTGTGTGTGTGTGTGTGTGTGTGTGTGTGTGTGTGTGTGTGTGTGTGTGTGTGTGTGTGTGTGTGTGTGTGTGTGTGTGTGTGTGTGTATGTGCGTACGTGTGTGTACATAAGTCCATGCATATATTTCATAGTCACAATGCAAGGGAAGGCCCATTTGTTAGCAGCTGAACAACAGGAGAATTCAAATTGAGTAATGAGTTTATGCATGTCCTAATTAAGCAGGCATCAGAGAGGTATTTTTAGGGGGAGAGAGAAGAGTCTATCCTCACAACCCAGTTCCAAGCAAATTCATCTTTTGATTTTAATTAAAGGTACAACGTTTGATAGCAAAACTCATCTTCCTCTACTTTTCCTGTTTCTTCTTCTGCAGGGAGGTATAGGGGTGACCTGCTTAGCTGCAGTAAGGTTGAGCCTATATGAGAACTGCCATAGACAATGCATGGTGAGGCATTGCCATCACTGTAATGTCCTATACATGGTTGAGTAGTGTAGCGTAGTGTAGCGTAGCGTAGTGTAGCATAGTGTAGCGTAGCGTAGCGTAGTGTCAGACTTGGGGAGAAGCAGAGTTCCCGAGCTTTCTCTTCTTACCTGCACATGATCTCGTGTGTCAGTAACACTCGGCACATCTCAGGGTTCTTGTCTTGACCTTCATAAATAATGGCCTGCGAGGGGAAAAATGATAAAAAAATATTATATTAGAAACAGGTTGAGGATTTGTTTTCGTAGCGAGGTTGGGTTATGGTGCTCACAGAGGCATGTTAGTGGAGCAGGTCAACTAGATCTGCCCTGGAGAGAGAGAGTTCCTACTGTGGTCTGGCTCACATCTGGTCACATCTCTCTCCACACACTGCACAGCAGTCTCTATTGAAACATTATAGGACCTGCCTCTCACTTGACTTTGTCACTCATTGGACATATTAGAATGGAGCATTTTTCCAACATCACTTTCTGCATGCTAAGAAAAGGAAATCACGGGAAGCTACCCAGATGAACGTATGGTGGACTTAACCCATGCAACTTCTACTTTTAGCCTGATCTGTTCTGTTTCTGGTCCAAAGATTTCACATCAGCATGTTGCCTGATTTGGGCTTCTCCTTGTGTGACAACATATCACCAAATTTTGTAATAACCAAGTAAATATTCTCTGGAAAGGCCGGGGCATTTTACAGCGTGCTGTGGTCCAGCCAAACAGGGCTGTGTGTGCTGATGGAAATATGACTTCCTGTCTCTCTATAACATGGGCTATGTCCCAAAAGGCACCCAATTCCCTATATAGTGCACAGCTTTTGGCCAGGGTCCATAGGACACAAATGTGGCCTTTAGATTTGGATGCAACACAGCACACTACACTGATGGACATTATCCTTAAAGTAACTGTCCAGTGAAAATCTCACTTCTAAAAGTTCATATTCTGTTAACTCATACTCAAATAATGTTGTTGACTCCTTCTATACTACATTTATATTTTTTAAACCCACCACCTCAATGTCAAAATATGCTTGTTATTTCCTCATAGAGGATTAGCTGGCTAATCAGCGGTCTACTCGCATGAATATTTTTAATGACCGGTATACGCCCACACCATTCTATTGTTGGGTTACGCCCACACCATTCCAATACAGAAAAGCTGCTTTTTAACATACTTAATAACAATTTTTTGGAAGGAAAACAATTTCACTCATATTTTAATTGATTATAGGTCCTATTTCATAGAAATCTGGAAACACTGGATAGTTACTTTAAGCTATGGTACTACCCATATACTCCATACAGATTATAAACAGTCCACAAATTTAAAGGACTACCATTTTATTGTTAGAATGCATAATCTCCTTTTACCACCCAAAAGCCATCACACCCCTAGCCCCCCTCCACACCACCACTACCAACACCCTCTCCCTCCCTCCCGTTTGGCCTGGAATTTAAAAGAGCAGATTCCACTTGGGAAGCACACAAACACAGTGCGGCCCTAAGAGCTTAATGTAGCATTTACTGCCTCTGGCCGGGGGATGTTTAATGAATAGCAGCGTGTGTCGTGGGAAATCTGCGGGACCCGTCCAATATTTCTGTCCGGGAGGGAGGGGGGAGGGAGGGAGGGAGGGAGGGAAGAGGCCGTCCAGGGTCCTGGCTACCCACAGAGCTGCAGAGCGGGACATTACGTGAAGAGAGCCGAGAGGAGCCGAGAAGAGAGCGTGTTTCACAGGAGGGTAACAGTGAGAATGGCTGTTGCCTGGAGAGGGGGCTCTGAGCCATGCTGAGCAGCACAGGTTGACCCAGTCACTGTCACTGCAGGGGCCTGCTGCAGGTACTATACCCAGGGAAGGGCCTACGACCTCTCACCCTGAACACAGAACACACACACACACACAAAACCTTTGTGCTCACATTGTGACTCTTTTAAACCACACAGACACATGGATCCATAAGACGTCATTTTGAATATGCTACACAGAATCCTGGCAATGTTTTATGGAAAATGGGCTGAGACGCTTGGTGCTTTATGAGTGCAGTGGGAACCGGGAATGTTGTGTTATTTTCCTGAACATTGTTGCCTCCCCACCCTTCTCTTCTCTCATTCTCTCAGGGCTTAGATATTCATGACTCATCGTGCAAAGCACCGAACAGATACTGAAAGCGCCGGCTGGGTGTCTCTCTACTGGCTTTGCTTCCCAATCTCTCTGTTGTTAAATGTGAAGAGGATGGTAGCTGCTCACGTATTTCTGCAACTGTCTGTCTTGTAGGAGTGTAATGGTTCTCATTCTACCTACTCTAGTGTGTAAAGATCCATGCGCCCGGCGGTGACGGTGGCGTCAGGGCGGTAAGATGGAGGCAGGGGAACGGGGTAGGAAGGGGAGGTGTGGGTGTGGGCGAGCAGTTGGGATGCCAGACTGGAGGCGCACCATCTGGCCCAACCTCCACCTCTTCCAAAATGTCTCAGCTTTTTTTTCACCCTTCCATTACCAATCAACATGTCCCAGCACTGGCAAAACTCTCATTTACGGAAAAACAGTCGCAGCATGGAATCGGCACGGCAGACACAGAACACTCCCATCAGCAGCCTTATGTGTTGGCACAAAGCATGTTGGGATTGTTTTAAGGAGTCAACCAAAGCCATAGTGGTGATCTTGAGCAAATTTTTGATATGGTGTTAAAATGATCCGTTCCTTCATAACTACTAGTGAAAAACGAGCCTGCTCCACACAGCTACTCGGCAGTCAGGGTGACTATGAAAATGACTTGTTCCTTTGGTTTCACTTTGAGAGAATAAGTGCCAAGGTCTTCTAAAACAGTACTGCATGCATCAATGTCTCCAGGCTAGGAGTCCACTGCTCCCAACTTCCAGGTTATATCTATCTTTACTGAGCACAACTAGGCCTTGTGCAATGCCCTGTCCTCTAGTAGAATAACATTACCTATATCATGACGGATGAACTCTTAGAAATATACAGAGATATATATGTATATGTTATTCTGAAAATAAAAATGAAGATTGAAGATCCCAAGTCCTTTGTTGGGTGAAACCGAGAGCTGGTCAAAATCATGACATTTGGATGAAACCCACTCACTCTGTGAGTTTGTTTTTCACCATGTTCAGTAAATATGTCTAAATGCAAAATTATTAGTGCTGAAAAACATGGATGCAAAAACAGGAACTACACAGAGCAGCAGCAGCAGCAGTGGAGAGGATGCAAACTCATAAGCAGAAAATATAAATAACACAGTGGCATTTTTTGCTCGTCTTTCAGTCAGGTTTTAAAAACAGGAGTTGCTAAGTGAGACCTCTACTTACCCCCACCAAGAGAGGGTGCTGAGGGACGGTGTCCAGGCGACCAGCCCCATACAATCCAGACCTCCAGTCCTGGGCCTCAACCCCACTAGTCACTACTACCACAATCTAATCCTGAACAAGGCTGAATATCCAACGCTATCGGACACCCTCCCAACAGCAGGAAATGTCTCATAGAAGAGATGAATAGCCCTTTGTCTGGTTTATTGTTAGTATCATTAAAGTGTTTGGTGTCTAAAGCTTCTGATACATCCACAATTCTAATAAGGACAAAATCTGGCTGCAAATGGAGAACAACTGCAGTTCGTATCATGGATTTTAACAAATTAAGTAAGCCTACTCATGGCATTTTACTGTAGGTGTGGTTCAACCATGTCTTTCTATCTTTGAAGTCAACAGTCCATAAAAACATAATATGCTCCCCTCCCTGCCACCATCTATGTAGCACACATGACATTCCGACCCATCCTGTCCTAAGAACACAGTGATGTACTGGGTGCATTAAAAGGCATATAGCGTTCATGTGCCTTTTAATACATATTTCATCTCACGCCGCACACTTTTCATTTTTCATTTGCTGTTTTCCTCATTGGCTTTGATGTGACGGGCTGAAATTGAAGGCGTGTAAACAAGTTGCTATAAATATGTGGAAACACACTTCCCACTCTGTTAGCATCATCTGTTAGCGTGCCATCAGGAGCATGGCAGCCTTTCTTCCCGGGCCGCTGCCACAGCTACTTTTAAAGAGGTGCCGCGATCAGCCTGCCTGTCTCCTTCTTTGTTCCCCCCTCAAACTAGCAACTACTCCACCCCACCCCCGGCTCAGCTGTTCTGGCGCCAAAACTCAGGATAGGGGGGAGAGAGAGAGGGGGGGGGGGGGAAGGAGAGGCCCTCCTGCCTGGGCGCTGTCTTAATCAGATCTGTCAGAGGTGGAGACGGTGATCACAGATACAGCTGTCTGACTGACACCCCGGGGCTTCTACCTCTCCCTCTGTCTATCTACAGTATCTCCCTATCTCTCTCTCTATCTCTCTATCTCTCTCCCTCTACCTCATTCTCACCCTTTTACTCTATCTCACATGTTTTCTCTATTAATTCTGTGTGATAGTAGTGCTGATTTTATAGTTGTTTATAACAATAATTGCTATGTTAATAACTGCAATGTTATGGTTGAGATGAAAATGAATGCACTAACTAAATGTGATTTCAATGCATGGTAGTTATCCACACACCATAAAATACTTCTCAATTTTCCCTGTTAGATGTTCTCTAATAGGATATAAAGCCACAGTGTCACATTAGCGGTTGTTACATCAGAGCCGCAGCGCAGTGCAGCGGTGGTGGTCACAGAAACAACAGCACAGTGACTCTTAAACACTGTGGTTAGGTTTATAGGATTAGCGTGATTACCCTTTATTTCCATGGGGGCTAGAACAGCAGCATGCAGGCAGCACTGTGATCCGACACTGGGACTCACAGCTGTGACAGACAGACAGGCAGACAGGCAGACAGACAGACAGACAGACAGACAGACAGACAGACAGACAGACAGACAGACAGACAGACAGACAGACAGACAGACAGACAGACAGACAGACAGACAGACTCACTGAAGAGGAAGTGCATGGGGCTATGGATCTGATCATGGTGACCTTATCCCTTAACCCAGTCAACCGCAACAATGTTTTGGCTGGACCACCTGTTAGTTAGTGTTCCTTTCCCACCACCCCCATGTCATCATCGCACTGGCTACAACAGGCTCTCTGTTAAACCTTATTATTTGAGCTACAATTTTTCCTGATCAGATGACACAGCCAGGAAAAACTCCTGGCCCTAGATATAGGCTACAACTACAGCACAGAGTTTTCCTTATTATCCAGCTTCCATACTATATCTCCCGACTCTCCAGCATTAGCGGCTCCACCTCTGGTAGCTACTAGCTGTGAGGCCCTAGCGACAGCTCTGAGACCTGTGCTCCGGCTCTACTCACATTCCTGACAGAAAACTCAAGAGACGCCCAGAGCTAAAACAAACCTGATCCTTAAGTCATCTGACTCATCTCAAGGCATCAAAGACACATGTGCACCATGTAATGTGCCTCACCATACTAGTCATAAATCTAGCAATCACTCAATAACACAGAAATATGACATAGAAATTAGAGAAGCTGCTACACTGATAATATGAACACAAAATAATCAGGTTCTTATTTCAAATAGTTTTGGTCTTCCATCAACAGCAGCTCAACCAATTTCTGTGAGTTTATTCCTAAAACTCTCAATTCGTCTCCTCGACAGAGGTAAACAAAAAGAACAAAAGGAATTCTAAGTGTGGACAGAAATAAAAAAAATGTGCGAGTCCTCTCAACCAACAGCAACCCTCTGCCTCTCTCTCCCCACATGAGATCAGGTCAAACAGTTTATTAAGAAACAACAAGACTGCCAGACACTGTCAGAGTACTACTGGGGTTTAATGCCATTTGATTGGCTATGGTGCCCATGCAGAGTGTGACACCATCAGAGCCCACCCACTGGGCACAGACGTCAATTCAACGTCTATTCCACGTTGGTTCCACGTAATTTCATTGAAATTACGTGGAAACAACGTTGATTCAAGCAGTGTGTGCCCAGTGGGCACTGGCACGTTAGTGAACATTAAAAGAGCGTAAATGGGTCTGTTTCTCCTCTCAGCAGCCTGCCATTACCCTGAGCCCGCTAACGAGCACACTAGCCAATTACCAAACCTGTCACACTATCCATAGGAGTACAATCCAGGAGAGAAAACAGAAACGGTACAAACACATCTGGCTGAAGGTCTACCTGTAAATAATATCTCTGAACATTATAATTCAGTGTACGAAATTGTAACTTTCTTGCGGGTGTCAGAATACAATGTCTGTCTCAAAAATGTCATTCAAAATAATAGTTACGCTTTCCAAATAATAAACTCCTGCAATTGAATGTCAATTAAATAACTCTACATTCTTATGAACTAAAATGTGAATAATAACCCAGGTAACCCCCCCCCCCCCCCCCCCCCATCCCCACCCAAATCAGCAGCTTGAGTATTACAGTTAGAGCAGAGTGGCTCAGCAAAGATACTTCAATGGGTCCCCACCTCATTGTCAGGGGCGTAATACAAGAAGACACTCTGGGCTGTCAGTGCTACCAAGTGAGGGGGGACCTGTCCAAATGTGACACAGGCCCCGAGGGCTGCGTGTACACACAGTCTTCCATGGCCTGATGCCTTCTGCCTCCTGCACCAGGTCCGCATAGCGAAACGTAATGTTTCTCCTCCCTTCACTTCTTAAACGCTTCTTTTATTGTTCATTTTTAGGCAGAGGGATAAGGAGATGAAACCTTACCTGTTTAGTCATGGAGTCGATGAGTCGTACATAAAAGTCCTGCTCTGTCCTGATGCCTAACAGACGGAGAGAGGTACAGGACAAAAGACATGAGTGAAAACGGTTTCAATAGAATTAGGTACCCTGGCCTGAGACACACTGTCACACACACAAACAATACAGAGATGCTGACAATTACTATTGTAAGTGGCAAACTATACATTGAAGCAAAAAAGTCGACCTCATTGAAAATGTTAAGGTTACTCTTTATGCTAATTACATTTATTTTGTAATGTTTTAAATGTACAATCTGTATTCTTAATCTAAGCAATTCACTTTTGTCAATAAAGGTATGTGTCACCAAAGGTGTGATTAAAACAAAATAAATTACTGAACTTCAGTCTCCAAACTTATCAAAAATATATTTCAGTCAATTGTATTGGCACAATTTTTTTCGATGGATTATGCAATAGTTGTTCCCAAAAAAAAAACTTTTGGCAAATAAATATAACAAATTTACAAAAATAGGCCTATAGCCTATTTCCAAGCCAACAGTGACAACTGAATAAGCATAAATAATGCCACAATATATTTTATCTTGTTTCATCAGTGAATCGAATAGGCTACAATAAAAGATTCAAGATTTTGCTCGAAACACTGTTAAACCTCGCAATGTGATGGCAACGATGAGAACGCGACCATTTGAAGCTGATGAGGTAAACAGCATAGCCCATAAAACCAATAACACATTGCATACATAGAAACACAATAGCTCGACAGCGACCTAAAAACGGTTCGCTTTTTTGCTGTGAGACGAATAGCTGCTAACGCAGCCAAAAGATTAACTTATCAAGCAGGGCCATTATGGACAACGTATACTATTGGCTACATGCTCGCAGGTATAAGAAATAACAAGCGCAAGACTGCTTATTTCCGGAAATATTTAGCTATGATAATTGTTATGAAAAGACAATTCAGGACATTAAATTCAGAAAGCCATAAAGTTTAATTATGCTACTCCTTCACCAGGCTATTATTATTATATAAAATGTTTTACTTTCTTTCACTGACAGTGTAGGCTACCTATTTCTATAGGAGCAGCCAATATACTGATGATAAAAAAAATATCCCAAATTAAACTTTTGATTAGCCTGCTAAAGTGCATGACTTGATCTCAAATAAACGCAAATATGACCTCAGTGAAAAGGTTACACTAAATTGCACCTGGTGTTGTTATTTCTGTAGAATGTAATGCAAATCGTGTTTGTGGTAGCCTGTGTGTCCGCTTCCTGCGACTCAGAACATAAGCGTAACATTGCCTAGAGGAGAGTTGACCAATGTTTTACACTTACCATTGCTGTAGAGAAGTTGCAGTCTGTAGTGTATACCATTGTTGGTCTTTTCTCCAGTGGATTCCTGTAAATGAACAGATTTAATGTGATTCAACTCATTTGATTCAGATCCGAAAAGATGGACATTGGTGCGCTTGTGTTGGAATTAGAGTGCGCTATCAGAAATAGGCTAGTACATTGAATATAACTCGACAAATTGTTGGATTGGCGAAATGTGAAATAATTATTCTACACATACATTTTTAATGATTCAACAATTACTTAATTGAACTGTATATAAAACTGTATATAAATTAGCCTCTGTTTTCATGGCTGAAAGGGGGCAAAATCTCATAAAGATATTGCAGTAATTACTTAATGTAGGCCTAGTGCTACTATACATGGAAGGTTTATTGGAAATTACATGGATAATTTATGTAACAAGTGGTTTTATTTATTTGAGCCTTATTATTATTTAATGAAATATACAAAACCCATTGCCAAAAATATTTGTAAAGCAATAGTACTAAATATTGATATTTTGTAATGAGAAAAAAACATTGAGTTTAATTTAATTAAATAGGCTACTTTACATTATTTTAAACAAGTAAACATCTAGATAAAACGACAATTACAGGCTATAACTTATCAACTTCAAAAGACAAATATTATTCTACAAATGTATTAGTATTATTTTTAGTATTAATATTATCGTAGCTAGTATTATTAGGTATATTATTATTATTTGGATACACTTTTATTAAGCTACTATTGGCCTATTATAGTCCTCCATAAATATATTAACATGTGGAAATGCTTATAAAGCTGCGCGTAATAAATCACAGGTCTATGGATGGGTTGAATGGGTTTTTAATTTTAAATTAGAATCGTCTGATACATCTAGTTTGTAGGCTAATTGTAAGCCTATATTATTGTCAAAATGTGGATGTGTTACAATTTAGTGTGTTCGAGAAGCTGATAAAATATTTCAAATATCACTCACCTTTTCCTTCTCGACAAAACCGAGGAAAGACGTCCTTTCGATTTCCACTGGTTGTCCTTGTCTGTCATATAGAGCCAAAACGAAGTGAAAGAAGTTGGATTTCCGAAGATTTGATGGCGGTTGCTTCTCAAAGTGCGCCCGGGCAAGACCCACTCCACTGTGGATAGACATGCAAGGAGTAGTCATGTTAGGGCATCAGCAGACTTAAACGTATGGAAATAATAGTCACCTTTAAGAGTCAAACTTCTTAGCCCTATATTTAAACGTGTGTATTTCTCGTTTACACACACAAGTCCTTTTCATATCTGCGAAGCGAACCTTTTGATATTCTGTAGGCCTACCGGCCTAATTTTAAACAAATAGACGAATTTAGAAAATGTATGTAGCCTATAGAAGTGCTCTTTTATGATGATGTTTAGTTGATATGCATGTTACATATTCTAGGCTTTTGGATCTTCTAGCAATGCATTAATAGCCTACTCATGCCCAAGACACATATTGCTATGCATGGCCAATTTATTACCATATTTGTTTTATCATGATATTATAGTTAGCCTATTATATTCTAAATATGATCACTCTTATTTGAACAGTTCTGTAACTAAACTAAGCCATTACGGATTGTTGTAGACTATGTCCAATTAACAGTACAGTATAGAAGTCATCCATTATGCTAAACTCTCAATTCTACGTCCATGGTGAGGGGAGCATCGATACTGCGGGGGAAGAAAACTTCAACATTTCTTCGATCACAAAGCCTGTAGGCTAAACTGCAAGTGTAGAGACAAAAAATAAATGGGTCCCTTGAAAATATAGTCTTCCAAAACAGTGTGGACCATGGACCATCCGTGCGCTGGTAGAGTCCTCGCGCCGGGAGGAAGATGCTGTCTCCGGCTTCTTACCTTTGAGCGGCCGTGTTCGCATCCAACACCCCGGCTCCCTGCATCCATGTCCGAACTGCGTTCATCCCGGATCCGATGGGTTCCTCTTTCAAACTACTCCCACTCCTCTGGATGCTCTCCTGAATCCCAAACATGAAAAAATCGCGCTCCCTCTCTCCGTTTGAGTGTCCCAAAATTCGTTTTCTCTAATCACAGGTAAATGAGGGTAACAACGTGGGCGCGAGCTAATGCTGGGTCCGCGTTGATGCCAGTGACAGTGTGTCTGTTTACTTCAAACCAAGAGAAAAAGACGAAAAGAGTCCAAAGACAAGTTATCGAAATCCAGGTGTCTCAGAGACGAAAAGCACTTCAAACAGTGATAAAAAGACAAACGAGCGAAACGCAAGACAGCGCTATCCCTCCTGTATTAAAGAGACTTGCTCTATGAGCTCTGGTATCAACTAGAGAATGGGATCAACTAGAGCTTTCAGATTGTGCTAGATCAAATGGCATCAACCCCTGACAAGTCTTTTTTCTTCCTTTTCTCTCTCTTTGTTTTCCTTTTCCAGAGGTATTCCCTGTCAAAAGGAAATGAATAAGAAATTGGAAATCAAGAAGAGGAGGACCCTTGTGGCTGCAGACCCCGTGTTGTTCCTCTTGTTAAAATGGGAGTGATTTGTGTCCCTTCCCAAAGGAATCCTATTTGACTATCTCTGAGAACTAAACACAAGCACACCAGCCCCACAGGGAAGAGGGAGTGACTGTTAGAGGCGGGCCGCCCCAAACAAAGACGAGCCCAGTGTCAGATCCGCCCAACCACAGCTCCTATCGACTCATTAAAGGCCGCCCCCTTCCCTTACCTCCACCGCACATTACCGTCGCACTCTCGCAGCTAAGAGAGTACCCAAAAGGAGCTTTCGGAGACAGTTGGCTAAAGATGACTCCATATCGAAAAATTGGTCACATGAAGTGAAGCGAATAGCGAGAAAATTCAAATTCGTTCCGATATGTCTTGAGAACGTGTCTGACTGTGTAGCCACCAGTGAGACATTTCTGCGCGGGTCTTGATACATTTCTTATTACGGGAAAATAGAACTACATTAACTTTTTTCAACTTTGTTCAATATAGCATTTTCTGACTTTTGGTGGCCATGCGTATCGTTATTGGAGATCATGCGCTATTTTACGCATAGAGGCTCTCATTGTGACCACAGTGGAGAGGGGAGAGGAGACGCGCTTGAGCACACCGGAATCTTTTTCTCGATTAAACTATTAATGTAGGCTAGTGAAAAGTATTAAACTTTAGATGTCAACCCCTGCTCCAAGTGTATCTTAAAACATTTAACATAGCCTACTAACATTAACACAATTGTAAGAGCTTGCACATGACATGAGTCCATACTTACGCATGCAGATACACTAGTTTACACCATTTTACACACTTGAATATATCCCACTCCAATATAGGGATGCAGAACAACATATAACTGTTTAAATTTAATTTAGAAACATAATTTATCATTATGTAGACAAATGTCCATGCATCCAACTCATGCAATAAATATTTTCTTTAGACAAACTAATGCTGACTTTCAGAAGGTCCATATCATGCAGGCAAAAGCGCTTGTGTCACTGCGTTGTAGGCTGTATCAATGCAGGCTATGTGATAGGTCCTTACAGTATCAAGGGTACAGTCTTGAGATGAGTTCAAAAATGCGATTAGCAGGAGTAATATCAAGACATGGTGTTGAAGATATTTTTTGTTATGAGAAAATTTGATTGCAATGTTTGTCTCAGGACTTCAGCAGAAAATATCCTCCGTCTTTACCACCGTTTTATTTAGACAATTGTTTAGACAAATTTATGAAACCCATATGTTATGAAACAAAACATATTCACGGTTCCAATTTAAATGTAACTGTATTCATGCTAACGCAAAAGAAGCGCTGAGGGACAAACAAAAGTGACAATAACAATAATTAGCTCAAAATAACAATGAAGCATAATTGTTACCCGATTCCTCGGCTTTGCTGGCGATAAGTACATAGTCTAAAATAGGCTATATGACTCCTTTGGAGAGTGATGATTAATCATTTCATGAATCATGGTTTAGGACTTTAATAAAAAATAAAAACTGAATGCAGTGGACAATTGAGAGATACATTTTTCCTGTTCAATTTAGCTACTTTTGCATGTCGCTATCCATTGCACTTTTTGACCTTGTTGGGCTACTATATAGCCTAGGTATGATTATGAGTCCTCTGTAAAGGGATTAAATACATTGTAAGGAAACAAGTTTCAGGTGAGGCTGGTCACAGTGGACAATGTAATGCGCAATGAAAAAGATGAGTATATATAAGAAGCCTATCTCTCGAAAAATTTTGGAGATGGTGGGAAATTAAAAGTAGTCAATGTAATGCAATATTTCAACACATCGACGTAGGCTTTGAGGAAAGGTTTTGAAGCGCGTGCGCGCGCACCCACAGTGTTGCTGATTGTAGCGCTGGGAAGATGTAAACAGTTTATCTTCTCTGTGACTGACACATACCTGAGCCATTAATATTTTTATACCCCTTTCCCCACCAAAGCTTTCCCATAAAATAAAAAAATAGGCCTAATCTAATTAATTCACACCAACCCACAATTAAACGTAAATGGCCCAGTGCACAAGACAGATACAATAATAATCTTTCTTAGCCTTACTGTATCAAAATATATTAGGTATATTAGTAAGATGAATACATATAATTTGAGTCTCTCGTTAGAATAAAATGCCTAAACCATTGAAAAATATATAATTCAATGAATCAGAATTGATTGTACCCTCAATGATCACATATATTTTGATTTCTTGTTTAAATCAGATAGGCCTACATATCATAATAAACTAGCCATCAAAACACATTAGGCTACTTTACTATACTAGAAAACTATACTAGAATGCAGCAAAATCCAATTCAATTAGCCTGTACTGCCAATTTAAACTAGGTGGTTTTGTGGGTGCTGAAGATAGGCTACACAACCTACAGGAGTCGATAATGCTTGTGTGGAGGTAGGCTATATTCACCACTGTGTTTCCTCTGTAAATTGGTGATTCCATCATACATTGGTGGCATCATGAAGTTTAAATTCAACAGCGACTCCCTCCCGTGGTCAATAGGCCTCGTGTCTTGAATGGAAAATTGGCAATGGAGAAAAAGAATAGGCCTATAGACTAGAGGCCTATGTGGCTGCGTTTACACAGGCAGCCCAATTCTGATCTTTTGCCTCGCTACCCTAGGCCTATCAACTCGCAATTCGCCATAGTAGGCTGCATTGCAGTGGAGGCTGCTGAGGGGAAACGGCTCATAATAATGGCCAAAACGGGCTAAGTCATTTTTCACTTGAAACACTTGAAACAGATTTTTCCTGCAATCTAGAGCCATAATCATTATGCTTAATTCTATGTAAAAAAAAAAAGAGTATACTTTTCTGCATATCTAATCATAACTTTTGAGCTGTCTGTATTCCCCTGACTGGTGGGTCTTTTTTTAAAGAAGTTAAATATGCTTCTCTGCATCGCTGCTAAAATCTGGTTAAAAGATTGAAAGGTGTGTGAGTCATATTAAGTACATTTAGTTATTGCTTGCTTTTCTGAAGTCTACCAACCTTGCCAGCAGGCATGCCAGCCAAGATAGTTAGACAACCTAGCTACTCTAACTTGATTGATAGCCTGAATCCTATCCGGGCTAGCTAAAGCCAACTTCATACATTTGTGGCCAGTAGTATTACAGAGAAAAAAATAAACACGTTTTTATTGTAGTTTTTTTAAAATAACAGGATGCCTCTGTTACGTTTACCTTGTGACTGGCTTTATGACTGGCTTACTATTTTACAGTCTGCAGATGATGGTCTTGGAGTGTGAGGATTTTACACCTTCAAAAGTGATGAAATGTCGCCACCGTGTGTCCAAGATGTCTCCTCAGGAGGCACAATCAAATGCATCAATAGTTGATGTGTGTTCTCTGTAAAAGGTTTTGCCTGAGCACATAAGACGCAAACTAAGCGTGTAGGTGTCATAGTTCCCAAAATACCAGTGATCATTAGTTCATTTTTGTATACATTATTTTTTATTTGGGGGGGGGGGGGTTATGGTTGTACAAAGACGGCCTACCTTTGCCATTGATCACTTCTGTGACAGCATAGGGCCACACAGCGCTATTTAGGCCAATCTCCATTTAATTAAAAGTAGTAGGCCTATGTTTCTTCTTGTTCTACCTTTATGAGTTTACTGGCAGTACAAACTGAAAAGGTACTCACTGTCACAAAGAGGTCTGGAGTGTATTGTCTACAGACATAAAGCCAAAGTTTGTGATGTATGCCTACTGCCATCTACAGTGCTGGAATATGTTTGCTCCAGAGTACAATTCATTGGTTGATCACTCCTGCTGGCCTGTAATTCCATAAGAAGTCCATCAGCTGACAACTTTAAAATGGTGAAATCCCCCCTATAGTGCTTCTTCTATCCTTATCTATTCTATGGTCTTGTCTTCACATATAGAATGACTTTACAGCCCATTGTATCCATGCATGTAGGCTAGCCAAAGGTTTATTGTAATTGAAAATGAGAACGGAAGACCAAAAAACAGATTAATATATCTCAAAATATAAAATTGCTAAATGTACTAACTACTTCCAGAATAACTTTGAGATTTTGAGAGAGGACTCTGGCTGGAGAACCTATAATTCTAAAATTGACTGAAAAACTGGTTCTGAACCTGGATCGCAAAAATTTTAGATTAGATTGTAGTAGAGCATAACAAAGTATTTTCCTTATGGGTCTTTGGACTTCTACTCCAAATCATACAGTTTAGCAGTGGTTCTGTTGTAAAACCAAAGCCCAGGATGTGGTCTGGACTCTGTGGAGGAGGGTCATTGTGTCAGGGACGCTGTAGAAGGACAGAATTCCAGCCTTGTGGTCCAGGTACACCCCTAGTCTGGAGGTACTACAGTCCTCAGATTATTGTGCGTGAACCAGTAACCCTGCGTAGTGCAATCTAAAATCCAGGTTTGATCCTTGCCTCCAAATCCAGAGTCTACACCCGATCTGTTGATGTCTTTACATGAGACTGACGGAAGAACCACTTTCCCACTCCACAACCTCCCAGTAACAATATCCAGACAGAGACTCTCTACACAGCACCTGCCAACTGTAATGAAATATCTCTAGATGCTCAGGATATGGCTGCTTTTCTGATGTAGCCTTTCTGTCATCCTTAGACAAAGAGAGGTTAATTTGCGCTGTGTTTGGGTCAAAAGTGAGGCGATAGGAATCTGAAAGAAGAGTAGAGCCGAGTTCTCTTGGGCTCCGGTGGCAGCAAAACATCCACTGCATTCACTACAGACACAAACACAAATATTATTTAATACATGCATAGGTGCTCTTACTTATTAAAAAGATGAACCGTTTTGACTTCAATCTGTCTTTGTCAAAGCAAAGTTACTTATATACAGAGACCACTACTGGTAGAGTATTTTACTGACCTGTGGTGGAGATCTTGGACCATTCCCCTTCAAGAAAGTCCTCCAATGTCTCTGTCAGCTCAGACACAGCCTTATTCACATCTCCAAAGCAGAAAACAGCCTGGTATACAGTACATCGATGCTGGGTAAGTCTGAAGGTATGGTGAGACCGGATATTCCTGAAGGGAGAGAAACACAGAGAGACAGGGTGAACAA